TTAAGAAACAAAACCTATCTTTTTGTTGTCTGCAAGAAACTCTTCTCACTTTTAAGGACAGGCACTACCTTAAGGTGAAAGGATAGAAAAAAATACACCAAGCGAATGGTACTAAGAAAAAAGCAGGCATTGCAATTCTAATATCTGGTAAAATAGACTTTAAACTAAAACTAATCAGAAGAGACAAAGAGGGCCACTTCATTCTGATCAAAGGACCAATAAACTAAGAAGATATTACAATCAGGAACATATACTCACCAAACTCTGGTGCACCCAACTTCAAAAAAACAGTACTACAGGACTTTAAGACCCAGATTAATCCTAACTCATTAAGAGTAGGGGACTTCAATACCCCATTGTCGCCAATACATAGGTCAACAGGACAGAGAATTACCAGAGAGACATCTGGATTAAACAATTCCATACATCAAATGGGCCTGACAGACATCTACTGAATACCCCACCCAAGCACCAAAGAATATACTTTCTATTCACCACCCCATGGAACCTTTTCCAAAATTGACCACATACTAGGCACAAAACAAACCCCAATAAATACAAATGTCTGAAATAATTCCATGCATTCTACCAGACCACAATGCAACAAAGCTTAAAATCAACACCAGAAGAAAACCCAGTAACCACACGAACACATGGAGATTAAGCAACACACTTCTGAATGATGAATAGGTCAAAGGAGAAGTTAAGAAAGAAATAAAAGTATTCCTGGAACTAAACGAAAAGGACAGTACAACACAAAAAAAAAACCCTGGGACATATTGAAAGCAGTCCTTAGAGGGAAGTTTACAGCTCTAAGTGTCTACATTAAAAAATCGTAAAGAACACAAATAAATGACTTAATATTGCAACTCAAGATACTTGAAAAGCAAAGACAAATGAAACCCAAACCCAGCAGACAAGAAGAAATAACAAAAATCAGAGCAGAAATTAATAAAATAGAAACAAAGAAAACAATACAAAGAATCAGCGAATCCAAGAGCTGGTTCTTTGAGAAGATAAACAAGATTGATAGATTGCTAGCCTGGTCAACCAAAAGAAAGAGCATCTCCAAATAATAAAATCAGAGATGAAAGGGGAAACTTCACAACACATAACAAAAAGATCCAGAACACTATAAGGCAATACTTTAAAAACCTACATGTTATTAAATTTGAAAACTTGAAAGAAATGGACGGGTACCTAAAAGCATGGGAACAACCAAAACTAACCCAAGAAGAGATTAACAGCTTAATCAGACCCATAATACATAAGGAAATTGAAAGAGTAATACAAAACCTCCCAACTAAAAAAAGCCCAGGACCAGATGGATTTACAGCAGAATTCTACCAGACATTTAAAGACTATCTACATCCAATACTACTCACTTTATTCAAAAAGATAGAAATGGAGGGAGAACTTATAAATTCCTTCTATGAAGCCAGCATCACTCTCATACCAAAGCCAGGTAAAGATACAACCAAAAAAGAAAACTATAGAGCCATATCCTTAATGAACATAAATGCAAAAATTCTCAACAAAGTATTTGCAAACCGCATACAGACACACATCAAAAAGATCATCCACCATGATCAAGTTGGCTTTATTCCAGAGATGCAGGGATGGTTCATATATGTAAGTCAATAAACATCATAAATCATATAAATGGGCTCAAAGACAAGAACCACATGGTCATCTCAATAGATGCGCAGAAGGCCTTTGAGAAAATTCAACATGCATTTATGTTCAAAGTCCTAGAGGGAACTGGACTGAAGGGAACATACCTCAACATAAGTAAAGACATATATAACAAACCCACAGCCAAGATCATTCTAAATGGAGAAAAACTGGAAGCATTCCCATTGAAATCAGGAACCAGACAAGGCTGTCCACTATCTCCACTCCTCTTTAACACAGTGCTTGAAACTCTTGCAAGAGCAATAAGAGAAGGAAATTAAAGGAGTAATAACTGGAAAAGAAGAGATCAAATTTTCCCTTTTTGCAGATGATATGATATCTAAGAGATGCCAAAAATTCTACCAGAAAACTCCTAGAAATTATTAACACGTTCAGTAAAGTCGCAGGTTACAAAATTAACCTATAAAAGTCTGTAGCCTTTCTATATACCAATAACAAGCAATCAGAGTACAAGGAAACACTCCCCTTCACAATAGCTGAAAAAAAATAAAAAAAATCTCGGAATAAACCTGACCAAAGATATTAAATAGCTCTACAATGAAAATTTTAAATCTTTAAAGAAAGAGATTGAGGAAGCCATCAGAAGATGGAAGGACCTCCATGCTCATGGATTAGAAGAATTAATATTGTGAAAATGACCATCCTACCAAAAACCATTTATAGAATCAATGCAATGCCAATCAAAATCCCCATGACATTTTTCAGACTTGGAAAAAAAACATCCTAAGATTCATATGGAAGCACAAAAGACCTCGGATAGTCAAAGCAACCCTGAGAACTAAGAGCAATGCTGGGGGGATTATTATACCAGATATTAAACTGTATTACAGAGCTACAGTCATGGTGCTGGCACAAAAATAGATCCATAGACCAATGGAACAAAATCAAAGACCCAATTATGAGTACATGCAATTTCAGCCACCTGATATTTGACAAAGGGACCAAGAATATTCACTGGAGGAAAAACAGCATGTTCAGCAAATGGTGCTGGCAAAACTGGATCTCCACCTATAAAAGAATGAAACTAAACCCCTATCTTTCACCTTGCACAAAAGTCAACTCCAAATGAATCAAAGGCGTCAATGTGCACCCTGAAACTCTGAAACTGTTAGAAGAAAACATTGGTAACAACCTACAAGATACAGGTGTAGGAAAGGATTTTCTAAACCGGACATCAACTGCCCAGGAAACAAGGTCAAGAATCAACAAATGAGACCTAATTAAACTAAAAAGCTTCTGTCCATCAAAAGAAGCAAGCAAGGAAGTAAAGAGAAAACCCACAAAATGGGAGAAAATCTTCATCCGTGACACATTTGGCAGAGGTTTAACATCCAGAATATATAATGAACTCAAAAAGCCAAGAATCAAAAACAGAAGTAACCCAAGTAAAAGATGGGCTAAGGAGCTGAACAGAGTTCTCAAAAGAAATAAAGACGGCCAAGAAGCATATTAAAAGGTGTTCAAAATCACTAGTAATTAGAGAAATGCAAATTAAAACCACTTTAAGATTTCATCTTACCCCAGTGAGTGGATAATGAAAATGTGGTTCATTTATACCATGGAGTTTTACCCAGCAGTAAAGAAAGATGAAATCATGAAATTTGCAGGTAAATGGATATAATTAGAAACTGTTACACTAAGTGAAGTAACACAGACTCAGAAAAAAAAACTACGTATGTTCTCCCTCATATGTAGATCTTAGCACCAAATCCTTATGAGTACGTATCCAGACATAACTATAGGAGCTAGGATAATGAAAAAGGAACCAAGGAGGTAAAGGAAAAGAAAGAATCTGAAAGAGAAGAACAGTAGGAAACAGGTGTTTTTAAGGGAGATGTGGATAAAAATATGGTTATTTTAAGGGGAGGGGGGAGGGAAGGTTATATAAGGAACCTAGGGGATAATGGGAAAGAAGGAGCTCAAGAGAGGTAGGGCAATAGGAGAAGGGTATTATGAAGGGAGAAATGGGAAAAACGGGGGTACCTTAAATGGGGAAACTATGGTGGAAGGGTTACACAATGTGAGAGATAAACAATGCCTAGCTAGTTTTAAAAAACCAGAGGGATCCATATTAGTCCAACAACCTACTAACAAATTACACATACAACCAGATCGAAGAATGTAATATATGTCTAGGCAAGGTTTATCTGAGAGCGTTTCATCTTTGCCCAAGCTTTATCTACAGGGCACATGGTAATTAAAAATACCAGACTGGTGGAACTAACCTTCTTGGATGTTTAACAGCCATACTATGAGGCCTATACTAATTTGGACAGAGGGACATAAAGGACAGTTTTTGCTCTTTGCCCTCCTAGGTCAACTAGGTTCCAGGGAATTATGAGCATTTCTCAAAATGTCCTGTAACTGTGGTGAGTCACCTGTCCTCTTGATCAAGGAGGCCATGGAGACCCCACAAGATGGACTTGACCAAGTTTCTAGTCTACAAAGAGGAGGGTCAATACACAGAAACATTTCCTCCATGCTTCCAAGTGAAGCCAGCCATAATTGAGCAGGACCTGTGACTTATCTCCACACAGACTGAACTGGTAAAAGAAAGGATCCAGGGGCTCCTCCCAAGCCCATGTTACCCCTGAGGAACAGATCCTCAAAAAGTCTTAAGAGTAAAAATAAATTGGTTTATCTGG